AGTTTCGAGAACATCGATTGAAGGCCACTCCGCTGTAATAGGTCGTGGCTTACGTGCAATGGCTCTTAATGCAGTTTATAGAGAAAACGATTTTCCACATTCTCCAGTTGACCTATCTTTTTGAAACCTTACGGAACTTTTTTCAAATTAATTTTTCTAAACTGAGGCATACAGATGCTAGTGCTATTAAAGCCGATTCTCCTCCAAATTTAGGACGAAGTTAGGGTAGCATTTGATAAAGAAAAGTACGTCATGAAAAACTGTAAAAAATGGTGTATGAAACATAGTTAGGTTAGAAATCATAAAAGAGAAATAGTTCATTTTCGAGCATTTCCGATCCCAAGATAATCGATGAATGATCTTCTTAGCCACTTTTTTCCCATAAATAGAAAAGCATGCAACTTGTCTTTGGTGATTAAAGTGCATACTGTTCGTTAGAAGAAAATGTTCAAACTGCTGACCTGATCCGAGTCGGACTCCGCTAGCTGATCAGTGCATAGTCGTCGATTTATTAAAATAAAAGATTAACTTTTGCAGAAGACATGAATGCTTACTAGTGGTAGTTGTACTTGTACTTGTGCTTGTTGTACTTGTTGTTGTTGTTGCTTCAGAAAAAAAGATTTTAGTTTATGTTTAAATGAAAACAATTAATTTATATCAAAGAATTGAGTAAAGTCGTACTTGTAAAAATATGAATAATTATTTTCTATCGAGAAGACTCTGTTGTACAAAAACAAATTTTCTTTGCTCTTATGAATTATGGAATGAAATTGTTTTATTGAATAGGAGGAATAATAGATTAATTATTTTCTGTTTTAGCCACGACGACAACGGCAACTAGTAAGTTCTTGACTTTATATTTGAATCAGTATTAATGTTCTTTTTTGATTTTTAAGCTTACAAATCAGCCAGTGAGTTCTTTTCAACTGAATCTTGCTAATTTTAATTTCAACTTTTTTAGCTACAACAACATGTAAGTCTTTATTTATTGATGATTTGGACATCACGAATGATTCAGTTTCATAAAAACTAATAACTTATTTTTCTAATCTTCTCGTCTTCTAAATTAAACGAAGAAGTCCTGGGCGTGTCCTTTCTTCCATCATAATTACTGTTACTTACCATTTGTGAAATTGTTGAAACTGCATCGTCATTCATTATTCAGATACGTAAATTTTTAGTACTTACTTATACTTCTCATCATATCTCTACTATACAAAATGCTTTTCAAAAAAAACAACAACTTTCAATTAAGGAGAAAAGGAAGAAGGTAACAACAGCAGTTTCATTATGAAGTCTTCTTTTGTTGCTATTGTATAGTCAGAGACCATACAGGTATAGTAGATAAAAATGTCCATAAGAGATACATCTAAAACTGTCAAGGATAAACTATTAAAATATAATTTGTTTCCTGATTATCCACCCACAACCAATGAACATGATTTAAAAACAGAATTAATATCAACACGTTGTTATTTATGCATATGTATGTAAGTACTACACTTGTATGAACGACATTCACAAACATTAATATGTTTATGTTCATTAATTGCTGTTCCATTTGGAAAATTTATTACACAATTTACACCAACTTATCACGAAGTTTGTTCATCACAATTTGTTCATGATGAATGGATAATATATCTTAACAGCGAGCCACCAAGTAAGAAAAAGAGTGTGTAGACAGATCGGGCGTGCGCACTCTCGTTTGTGCAGAGTAGTTTGGTTACTCGAGCAACCATTGGGGGGG